TAACTATTTCTTAGAGACAGGGTTTCACTCTTGTTCAGGCTGATCTTGAACCTCTGTACTCACCCATCCACCTGCCTAAGCTTTCCAGAGTGTTAGGATTATAGGTGTGAGCCACCATGCCCCACCCCTGAACAAACTATTGCTAGACCCAACAACTTTGATGAACCTCAGGTGAATTATGCTCTTTTTAAAAAAAGCTAATTTCAATAGGATACTTTTCCACTGGGGAGGCTGAGGCAAAAGAACTGCCTGAACCCAAGAGTGTGAAGTTGCTGTGAGCTATGATGCCACAGCACTCAACCTCAGAGTGCCAGACTGAGACCATGTCTCAAAAAAAAAAAAAAGAAAAAGGATACATGTCACGTATTTCATTTATATAATATTTATGAAATAGCAGAGATGGGGATAATGAAAGCATTCTAAAATAAGATTGTGAAAATGGTTCTAAAACTTTTAAAAAATCCCAAGTTGCACATAATTTATGGTATGTCACTTATACCACAATAAAGCACTAAAAAATCTTTTTACCACAGTGAGAATTAAACAAAGGTTAACAGAAAACAAAATGTGTGTATATACCTTGTTTTTTCCTTTCATGTTTATGTGATTAAAAGGCTTCCAATGATACTATTATATATTTTTGAAAGTCTCAAACAAACATAGCTAATCTTTTATCATATTTTCTCTTCAAACGAAAAGATTAAATAAATGTCCCTAAAGGGAGTCCTGTTGACATCCTCCTCATTCTTCAAGGGCCTATCCAAATGCCCTCTTACTCATGACCTCCATCCTACACCACAAATGAATCCAACCATATGGATTCACTTCCACAGCACATTCTCTGAACAGTTTATTACACTACCAATGTTATGCTCTTCCCGTGGTCACTTTAGGAACTTTTATCTCTTGCAGTAGACAACCAGCACTCAAAAACTGTAATGCTTGCCATAGTTGTGTATCCCCTCCCCACCCAATCTATGCCCAACAATGCCTTGTTTGTTCAATGACAGCAGATATAAAACCTTTCCAATCCAATCTTCTTGCCATCCATACATACTCCCCAGCTCTCATGGGGAGTATGAGAGTGGGAAAGATGTTGGTGGATACTTCTAATTATCTTACAGTTTCAAAAGAGAAAAACATAAATATGAACTCACCAGATAACTTTATTATCTACTTTAGGTTACATAAAATGAAGTGTTTTTGTTTATAAAAAAACAAAATCATTATGTCAGACAAGGTCAGACAAGGTCTGACATAAGATCAGAAAAGGTTTTAAATCCTACTCATCATTCTGGGAAATGAGGACAAATCTGGGATATGATTTTTTTTATAACACTTTGTCTAAGATAGTACATGATCGTATATAAAAAACAAGGATAAACAGTCTCCACTTTTTCAGCTCAACAAACCTTTCTTAGTTTATATGAACATTGTGATGAAATGTCTTACATTATATTTACAATGAAAATAAAAGACTGACAATTAGAATTTATTAAAATCTGGCAAAATAGGTTTAGGAACCCAGCCAGCCATCATATAAGGAAAGCAATCACTTACCCAGATGCTTCTTTGGCTCTAGGAAAGGTCTGCAATAAAACAAAACAATAAAAACTATATATGAATATACAAAATTATTATAAAGCATATATTTAAATAACAAATTTAAAAATATATTAAAAAGCTAAATGTTCAAATTTGTATGAATTGTATGAATAAACCGTTGAGGCACATGAAAGCACTTTACCTCTTAATGATAAATGATATCCCAGCTTTGTTCTCCAAAATCCATTTCAGGGTTGCAAGATCATAATTTTCAGGGTGTTTAAAGGTAACTCCTTCCGGAAGACCTTGCACTACCACAGCTGATTGGTCTCTCAGCATCTTCTCATACGGAACAGGTACTACTGTGGATTTGCCTAAAGCTTTCCCTAGGGGAAACAGCATGAGAATAAACATCATTAAATGTTAAGATTACAGAATTAAACCATCACTGGTTTATCAGGGCTTACTAAACTGCATTCATGCTTTTTTGTAAATCTGATTTCAAAACTTCAACATACTGGCTCAGTGCCTGTGGCTCAAGCGGCTAAGGCGCCAGCCACATACACCTAAGGTGGTGGGTTCGAATCCAGCCTGGGCCCGCCAAACAACAATAATGGCTGCAACCAAAAAATGGCCGGGCGTTGTGGCAGGCGCCTGTGGTCCCAGCTACTTGGGAGGCTGAGGCAGGAGACTCGCTTGAGCCCAGGAGTTGGAGGTTGCTGTGAGCAGTGAAGCCATGGCATTCTACCCGGGGGCTCAGCTTGAGGCTCTGTCTCAAAAAAAAAAAAACTTCAACATACTACAGGATCCTATTCCCTGTCAGAAGTTCGAAATCTGAAACAGGTCCAAAGGACCAAAATGAAAAAAATATAAAATATTTTACTTTAAAACCTACACAAAAGGGGTGAATAATGGCTGACTTTACACTATTCTTCTTACACTATTCACTTTGCACTATACATAATTCAGCTTCAGAAACCTGACAAATCCAACTGTTACCAAAAAATAACAGGAAATTTTCTGCTAATATTCTTACTGAAAACTTGTAAGGTAGGCTGGGTGCTCGTAGCTCAGTGGTTAGGGTACCACCCACATGCACTGGAAGGTTTGAATGTGACCTGGGCCTGCTTTAAAAAAATAAAATAAAATAACCAGGCGTTGTGGCAGGCACCTGTAGTCCCAGCTACTAGGGCGGTTGAGACAAAGAGAATCACTTCAGCCCAAGAGTTTGAGTTTTCTGTGAGCTATGACACCACTGCACTAAACTGAGAGTGATAAAGTGAGACTTTGTCTCAATTAAAAAAAAATAAATAAGAAAGAAAAGAAAACTTATAAGTAAATACAAACTTCATAAACTTATAAGGTAAATCCAAACTTCATTTTCAAAAAATGGTGTACTGTGTTAGCCCGTTACTGTGTGTTAGGCAGCAAGCCTCATAGATGCTAGACACCCCCTTCACAGTTTACAGGAACAGACCACCATAACACCCCTGCTCCTTTGATAGTTTTCTTGTAAGAGCTTTGTTTTACAATGTGACTGATTTAACAAAAGAGGCTTTGCAGGGAACTGGAGAGATTAGTATAAATGTCAAAAAGTATAGCTCATAGAGAAGGGGAAGGAGGGAGGGCAAATGGGAGGATCTCACCGAATGTACATAATGTAAGGGTGTTCAGCACGCTCCCCTGGGTAAAGGACTCAAGTACAACTTGAACTTTAACTTAGAAGTAAAAACAATGTAACCTAAAAATTTGTGCCCTCATATTAATTTGAAATTTAAAAATAAGCAACATCTCAAATACCTACATTTTTCTAGGTTCCTCCAAAATATAAGTGAAAAATAAGGTTGTTCCTAATATTAACCCAATATTTGGGAATTAATCTATTCAATTTGTTATATATATATTATAATTGTTAAATCAATTATGTAAGCTACCATTTTGAAAACTCAATTATAGGTCTTTTAGAAAATTAAAAAGTACTGCCTTTACCATAGCAAAAGCAGAAGTAGTCCTCAACTGTTTTTCTGAGTGTTTCAATTTCTACAGCATCTACACTCATCCGATTCGCCTGGGTTGTAGATTTCATTTTGTGTATCTCTGCAGCCTTTTCTTCTTCTTCAACACCTATAAAATAGTAACATAAAAGATCCATATGTGTTCTTAATATTTATTTGCTCTTCAGTAAGAATATTTTCCCATATTCTAATTATGATTTATTATAAAGACAAAGCTTTAAAATAGAAATCTATTCAAAAGGATCTCAGAAGAAAAAATAGGGAAAAAAAAGAAGCCCGAAACACATAAATGACTGAATGAAATACGAAATGGCAGTCATTTCTGAAATAATTGTACCCATGAAGTTCTACAAATCAGTATTGTACCAGTAGTGTTAAAAAGCAAACTTAAGGGTGGCACCTGTGGCTCAGGGAGTAGGGCACCAGCCCCATACACCAAGGGTGGCAGGTTCAAACCCGGCCCCAGCCAAACTGCAACAAAAAAATAGCCGAGTGTTGTGGTGGGTGCCTGTAGTCCCAGCTACTCGGGAGGCTGAGGCAAGAGCATCTCCTAAGCCCAGGAGTTGGAGGTTGCTGTGAGCTGTGA